AAACTCTCGAGGCACTCTGGATTAATTCCAGAAATCCGAAAATGAACCGCAGGGAAGAATGCCTCATCATCACGCGTGATGTAGGGCAGTATATAAGACTGCTATTCTGATGAGTGGGGTACATTATACTTCCATGTGATTTCTGTGCGGTTGGTCTCTACGTGACATACTTAGTGGAGACCTCATAGAAAGCGGTGAGTGTGCAAAGCTGTGTTCAATGTGATTGAAATCTTGGTTTAGAGTTTCTTTGTTTGGTTATGGAGGCGTCTGGCCAAGTAGACTGCTGTCAACTTGACCTTTCCAGGCTCTGAGGAAGGCGAAATCCGCCGAAACGTCAGCTCATTTGTGAATAAAGAATAATAACACCTCGCGTTTGCTCAACAAAAATACGAAGAACTAAATATAGACTTTGACCAATTTTCACATCATCGTATTTACACTTAAAAAAATATGACACCTGACATTTATTGATAAGAATTGTAACTGGGAAGGAATAGATAATGAAGACATTAACACTATGGCGGAAAAGCATGGAAATCAAGTCACCTTTAAAAATCACATTATAGGTTCACATTCATATCGACTGAAACCTTTCTCGAGACTATAACACTTCACAGTGGCGTTTCTTGTTATCGACTTTTGACTCCCCATAATGACTTTTGTTGCCGTGTTTTCATTGATGGTTCGTGAAGTCCCTCATGGTTAAAAAGAACTCAACTACCAAGAAGCGGAGAACGCAAAATAAGAGTGAATTACTATTCCCATGTTTATTCTTTACCTACTTACTTATTTACTTAGTCACTTACTTAGATATATAGATGACTCGTGTTCACATCTCTTGTGGATCCCAGCACTTCTTGCTTGATTCCATTACCCTGCAACTGTCACCCGCGCAGTTGATTAGATTCAAGCATGGGTTAGGCCGCGAAATGAGGATTAACATCTTCCCTCTCACTGACACGTGGAATGTTGATCGGTGATGGTTTTTCCTACGAAGCCCAAATGGCCGTGCGAGTTCGTTCGCACGTTGTCGTCGTACTCTGAGTTATCAGCCCATGTGGAACGGAGAAAAATTTGCTGCCTTACGATTCACATTCTTCTGGGACTACAGCAATTCCAGTGATGACAGGGAATCCAGTGAATAGCTGACCAACCACTCTAGGGCGATGGAACAAGCCAAATCCCGTATTTAATTGATTACCAAGTTTTAATACTAGTATAAATAAAATCCCTGGTGAAACTCATATGAATGGCAAAAATGCCTGTAACACAAGACTCGAAGACTTTCTGATCAAGTTATCGTACCACTTGAGAGCATTCATCGACACAAAGGGCTAGTACTTGCGATGGACTGTAGAAATATAATATGGTGAGCATGTAAGTAAATGTTCAATTGAAATTGTAATCAACACTAAGCTTGCTGAGAGTAAAAGTTGATCAAGCCATGGACCTATACGAAGCTGCTGCATGCGAATGAAAATTTATGCACTAACGTTTATCTCGTGAGCCTATGAAAGTGTTTAACTGAGTGGATTGCGTGTTAATTTGACTCTTCTAGGCTCTGAAGGTGAATCCGACGAAACATTGGCCGGTATTGTGCGGAATAGATCTTGTTGCTAATCTTGTTAGTCCTTTCACGACTGCAGCCATTCGCTTGACCAGTTCATCGGACCACCTTTCATTCCAGTGCAACTAAATTGTGCATTGAAATCAAGATGTACAGTGTGAAGTGTGCAGCAACGCAGGTATTGAAATCAATGCGCGCGGTCATGAAGGGGTTAATAAGCTCGTGTCTACTCACAAAGAAAACAATGGATTATTTGATCAATGCCGAGGTTAAGAGGAAGTCGATCTTAGAAGCAGTAAAGAGATTCTGCTGAAGTCGCTCGGCCTACTCACACCGTCCGTGTGTCGTGCCTATAGACGTCAGCGTCGGCGTCACTCAGCCCGGTCAACGCGTGCGGCGTCGCGCGCGATACGCCCTGCGTCCCTGGCGCTGCGGACCGGCCGCGTGCTTCATGCACTCGATGACGACAGCGGCCGCCCAGCCACCGTCGGCCAGCGCTCCCGTCTGAGCTGCTCCCGCCACCCGCCCGCTGTTCGTCGCCATCTCCGTCTCTGACCTGGTGCTGATCGCCAGATCGCCTACCAGTGGGTCCGGTCGAGTTCGAAGCCGTCCTGCCGCCACTGCTCCGTCGGCCGCGACGACCTGCACATCGGCTATGAACTCATTGGAACTTGACGATGATGCTTTTTACATCTGTACTGAGATGTCGCCGCGTTGCTTTGTCGTTCAAAAGGTTCGTCCACATGAGTCTTCTTATTGGTTCGTCATTGTTTATGAGTGATTTTATCGCTTCATTCTTCGTTTTTCCTTGTTTATAGCGGTCCGTTGGAAAGCCTATGGCATTGTTATATGACATAACTCACATCTCACCTCTACAGTTGAACCCCACACTTCTTTCGGTCTTCTCGCTGTCGCACTTCCTCAGCCAACGTGAATCTTCCATCAGCCGCTGTCAGAATTCACACACTGCTCCGAATTTCCTCGTGATTCGTCATCTTTTTGACAGCACTTTCACACGTACTCTCTGAAATCGATCACCAGTTTTGAATTAAAATTTGAGTCTTATTTTATGGCAGGACGGGCGAAGAGTAGCTATGCGAATTTCCCATTTCGGGAAGTACTGCCATATTCCTACTAATTTAAGTGTTTCATGAAAGCTGAAGATTCGACCCTGTTTTCTCGGACCATGCATCTATTTTGTACTTCCGTTATTAGTATCTGCTAGCATTGTGCTACAGCGTAGTACCACTGGTATTGGAGTGATACCGATGGTGGTTCCTTTCGGAGCCCTACGAATCGCCTTATCTCTAATATTTTCGAAGATATCTAGTTTCCCTTGTGCTTCTAAATGCAACGTCTCAATGTAGTCTAGCGAACGTGACGAACGGTGCAAGTATGGACGAGTGACGAGTAGTGGTTGTTATTGCCCGAATTTGGCACAATACGTTCACTTTTCCTTTGAAGAATAGGATATCCAGACACCATCACACTATATTGTTTTTGTAATCATATTTCTAGACGCATCGTGCTTTCTTACGATCTTTACAGTACATTTAATCCTCATTGATGACTGGCTTCGTGCCCTTATTCTGTACACCGCTGTCATCGACAGCGATTGAATGTGGAGTTGACGAGCACACTCAGGAGCATGTTTTCGCTTACTGACGCTCGGGACTAGTAACGGAAACTCGTCGACTTCTTGATGACATTCTAAGATTTTCTTCTCGAGGATTTCCAATTTGTCCAGATTTCTGAGAATTTTCGATGCTTGACTGCATTTGTCACTTGTCATTGAACGACCTCGAGCAATGTTGAAACATTGCAGTCGTTATTTAATGCATAGCACCTTGCAATGATCTCAGAACAGCGACGAATGATGAGTGAGACATCATTTCTTATGGTTACAACGGTCTTGCTTTAACCCGCTTCGCTTCCCATCTGTCTTCTGAAATGTTGCAATTGATTTTTTTAATCACCAAGTCGCCGAACTTCTTATCTTGTTTGGAAAAAGAGATTGCCAAGGATTATATAGCACTTTTCGCTTGTCATGAGGACTAAGAATGGCAGAATGTGATATTTTATTTCATTTGGATTTTATAGGATCATTGTTCATCCGTCAGGCTTGCCCAAACTGAAAAAGAAGAGGATTTCAATCGATTCCTAGCACTGAAATAATTGCGGCAGTGAAACGACGCCACTCAATTAACGAGGTCCACCCTATGTAACTTAAACATATGACCGAATGATGAGCTTGAAGGATAACACAAAGAGCGTTCTTTCAGTTTTTTCAGTCAGTTGATCAGTTCTTGAGGAGTGCGTTATACATTCGATTTCTGGCTTATACAATCACTCACAGTGGCTTACCGATGGATCAATTCCGTGCTTTTATCCTCTCAGACAGAGCTGGTACTAATTTGTTGCTCTAGGAGGTCGGAAAGTTTAGGGAAACCGAAGCATAGGATTGAACCGTGTATTACGTGTGAATTGCAGGACGCCTCTAATCACTGCTCTACACATCCCCTAATGATGACTTTAGCTTGGTGTAACATTGGGGAAACTAATTTGTTCACGAGTCCGATCATAGATTCAATAGAACACGGCAATGTTCATTAGGAAGTAGTAGAAATTTTCTATTTGGTGGTTATTAGATGGTGACGCCTCTTGTATACAAAAATTATGAGTTTGGTGTAACTATTTACTTACTGCTTATTGTTTTTTTTTTCGTAAGCCCCACTCCCCCGTAAAAAGCCCCGTAAGAAGTAGACTCCAGACCGGAGTTGCAAATACGTTTCGGCGTCTTCGTCTTCCTCAGAGCAATTCGAGCGATGCTCCACCGAAGAACATCCGACTAGATGCGACGATGAAGACACCACATCGAGAGTACGAAAGACTATGGACATCGATTCGGGTCATCGGCTCGGCTGAACCCGAAGACGTAGAAACGTTAGCCGAATAAAGTTTATTTTACCAACCTCGTATTAGCTCATCAATGGAAGAATACGTATTGATCAATTAAACCAAGCTTAAAGGAAGGTCGGTTTGTGAAATATCTCAGCATCATTGAGGTTGTGTGTGTTTAATGCTACCTTGTCTTCTGAAGCAATGATATCCAATACAAGTTTATTACTGAATGATCATAATACGCCTTCGAAGTGAATTCTGTTGCTGACTGCCATTTCTTTTTGTAAACGAGCTGACTAAGAGGACAGTTGCTTATTTCCGTGAAAACACCTCATTTTATTATGTTCATGGGATCACCTGGTTGTGCGACTGTGTTCGTCGAATAGGATGATGCATCACTGTGTTCGTTGAATGGGCTGATACAGCACTGCATTCGTAGACCGAGAAGTAAAAATATTTTGCTGTAGTATTCTGCCATGTTGGACTTCGTCGTATTTTCGCTATGTTAACCCCGAACTTGGCTAATTGAACTTCTATAAAGGATGGAAAGACAACGCGTTAGATGTTGATCAATCCCGCTGGAACGAGCCGTGCTCTCGACCCCATTAAGCTTTAAAGAGGTGGATGGGTGCATGTTTGTATTTCACATTGCTTTGTGAGGTCTTACTGATGGATAATTTCAGTGTTTATTATCCTTCCAAACAACTATGGCACCATTCTACACACTCAGAATGAATGGGAGCTTCCATTTGCCTCGGGCCCGTGATCTAACTAATGGCGATATATGTATTGCAAAAATCTCTTAACATTTTGCGTTGCACGCGCACTTAATTAGATCTTCATATAAGCTACTATAAAGTACAATTGAAAAATATAGACCGCTTACATAATGGCGAAAATGTCATGCGAACTATTGTATCATACATAGGAAATGGAAATATCCTAGCTCGATGTATAGCTGCTGCAAAAGCTATTGGATTTTATCTGTAACACACCTATAGTTGTTTCTATAAATTTCACTTCTCTGCTGAGTAATGTTTTCTCCGGTGTTCCTTTATGAGAACTCTTTCAAAAAGTGTGTAGAGTGCTACCATTGTGAGAAAAGCTGGGTGTAATTTCTGTAGTTCAAGCGATTTCGATTTAAGGTAAACGATTCGCATTAGTTCTGTATATTTAATATTTATGTAGTCGCTTAATAAATTCCAAGTGTGGAACAACGTATTTTTTATATGAAGTCTTCAGTTTAGGTTACGACGAACTTATAGGGCATATTTTTGCTTGTCATACCCACCACGGTGTTTCGCTTAGCGCGAATTCTAGCCCTGAACAGTTTCTTGCTTTGAAACCGAAGTAAATCCACTACTAAATCTTCTAATCTTCTTTAAATTATTGTTGCTTTTTCTGTGATTTCGTAAATATTGCTTTGTTTCCTTATCGTTTCATAAGATGTCTTTAGACAATATTTTGGAGAAGACCAAAGAGGCAGTGATCACTATGGAGTCACCCAATTTTCTCCTTGAAGATGATTCCTGGAATACTGAGAAAACCGATTTTCAAACCGACCTGAGCAAAACAGTTCTGTTTCGTCACACATTGTTGGGCCTTTGAATTTACTGTATTTCGCGATGTATTGAATGGTAGCGTTTGATTGTTGAACAGCTGTTGATCGTACTTTGGTAGACCTACATCATAGTTCATGTAATCATTCAATTCTGACGTGAAAAGGCATTCACCAAACAGCGATGGAAAAGATTTTATTACCTATGGGACTAGTATAATCTCATAGTAACCATACGTTTGCCACAGATCCCGTGATATCGGCCGACTTTGGCGGGGTTTTGATATGTTTTGACCTTAGTCACTAATTTCACTTTTGTATTCAACCCAACAAAAAACAGTCCAACTTTTATGCATTTGCTAATCGTCGATGTTTTCTTGGATATCGTCCAAGTCAGAGCTTAAAATGGTTCATTCATCGCGACGTACCTGATAAACTATTCCGATAACCTCACAGCGAAATCCTAGGCCTAAATTCTAGTTATGTAGTAATCATGTCCACAGAGACTGGCAAAGTTGTGCAAAAGCTCTACTGTGCAAAGTGTACTGGATCAGAAATTGTTCCACATGCATTAGCTCACCAATGATTTGTTTCTGTAGTACACGCATCGTTAATGTTTACTTTAGCATCTGAGTTTTTCAAATCGGTTTTTGTAGCAGTCCAGCAATCTCTCACCCATCAATTCTTTTATCACATTTTTTATATGTTGCCGTCACTTAATAACATATTCTTCCAACATCACAGTAATTGAAGAATCCATAAGCTTCATACTTTTTCGGTACATTGGTAAATAACATTTTCTACGTAAGCTATTCTGCAAGTGCATCTACAGCATTACTATCAACACTTGGCCAAAATTCTTTTCACTTTAGCTATGAGAAGGGCAGAGCCCGTGCAGTGTAACGAACTAATTTTTTTTCCAAGAAAATGTCTATACTTGCCCCTATCGTGCTCAACGGATACCCAATAAGGTCTGTCCATAAGGAGGTCTGTAGAACATTAACTTATCTACAATGATGCTGAGATATTTGCAAAACTGCTGACTGCAGGTGTGTGCGGTGGGGATCGAACACACGATTACCATTCCCGTGGGCTATCGCGTTCACTACCTTACCATGCGGGTTCTTCGTTTCGCCTTTCTGTCAGTCGTATTTCTAACTTATATGTGTTGTCAGCAATAAGCCGTCAACGGGGTTGATCGGGAGAACACAAATCGGTATTGAGCTCATTAAAGCTGAAGCTGTATAATAAATCACAATGTAATAACTTTTTACTCACTGCCTATTCTGTTTTCATGACAGCGTATGATGTGGAATGGGATCACAGTGATTCTGAGATGCCATGAAACCTACCTCGATTCTGCCATGAAAAAAGAACAGGCAGTAAATAAAAAGTGATTACATTGTGATATGTGTTACAGCTTCAGCTTAGCTGAGCTCACTGCCGATTTGTGCTTCGCAGAGGCATCTTATTAACGAGTGATTGCTGATAGAATCTATAAAACTCGTCTGAGAGGAAGGAGAAACGAAGGACCCGAATGGTATGGCGCGTTAGCCCCGGAAAGGGCAATAGCGTGTTCGGTGCCCACCGCAGTCACCTGCGGTCTTGAGTTTGCAAATATCTCAGCATCACTTTGGTTTTATTTCACATCATACCTTCCCTTGGAAAAAGAATAGGGAACCAATAAAAAGTGACTACATCAGGTTTTTCGTCTAGAATCTTCGTGAATCTAACCATCGCTTCGCCGTTGTTCCTGCTATGTATTTGTCATCTCATTATCTCAGTCATTAAGGTCTCATGTTCAGTGGTTGTCTTTAAGACGCATAACATGTGCTGTGTGTAGGTGACTAGTGATATCTTAGCGGATAGGACAGCATACTTGACCTTCTACTCTACGCGTTGTTTAGTGATTAGTATTCCTTTTTCACTTACACACACTTGTATCCCCACCAGTATCACCATGTCGATTCGGGCTCGACTCCTCTTTTATCCTTTAACCCCGACGTCCAAATTTCCGAAATGTACGACGCTAGTTGTGTGATCAAGAAGCAGAACCGGATGCTTTTTTTGTCTTGTCAGTCACATAGTCACATTTTCTATGTTCTTGTATTTCCTCGTAGCAATTGCTGCTGAGCTGTGGAGCTAACTCGTTTATTACGAAGATATTCCTCTCCATAAGCATCACTGCGTTAAAGTGACTAATGCCCTTCCTCGTGATCATTCCTTTCTTTACGTATTGCGAAGGACTGGTCTTTTCATGCATGTTGTCATAGTCACATAGCATTCGTTCTGCCGGCTAATCCTTTTTGTTGCATGGAACATTTTATCAGTGAAGCTAATATTGTGCTGCTATCGACGGTCGCCTTTCATCCCCATGTTATTCCATATCACGCTTCGCATCACGTCTAAATTAATCCTGAATAATTTAAATGAGACTTTGTCGAAATCCTGTCTTCTTTTTGGTGCTAATATCACTTTGGGAGAGCGAAATTCTGGTCGTGAGCTTGCTGTACAGTTCATAGAGCATCTTTATATACTAGGTGAAATGTGCTGATGATTCTCCAATGTATATGTTGAGACATAAACGGCGAACATGAACAAAGTTAGCTTTTATGAACATCTTTTGAATCGTTGGTGCCGATTCAGCTCGTTGGTTGTTCAATAAAGTCGATGTTCATGGTCTCGCACATATTAACAACAAGAGAAGGCCAACCATGTCGGTCCTTTTCCTTTCGAATGTTTCGAGGAAATGTTCTACGTAATCACAAGCGGTGCTTAGTAGTTAGTGTTTTCTCGTCTCATTCCGTACTAAGTATCGTTCTTGCGCCCATTACTTTGCGTTATCTGAGTCTCAAGGTAGTGATCTGACGCTATAGTGCGTACGTTACAAGATCAGATTTTCACTTTATTCCCTTGAGTTCTTGGCTGCCTAATGAGCAGATTACAACAGCTTCTTTATACTCGATCTATCAAACGGTGTGGTTTCGAGGGTTCCCAGGTCTAACAAATGAGGTCATCTATTTCTATTGTTTTTGGCTAGAAATTTTAACCAAAGTGATGAGCTTGATATCATTAAGAGTGAGTATATATTGGTATACATGGACATGTATATATATGTGTATGTATATACATATATATGTATGTATATATATATATGAATATATACGTGTATATATATATATGAATATATACGTGTATATATATATAATCTCGGAGTAAAAGTGGGACATACGGACTATGCTTCCAGCATACTTGATTAACAATCCTGGTTTATTGACGTGCAGGATATAACTCGTATAAACACATCAGTACGCACACATTTCCATTAATATGTCGCTGTCGAAAATGGCCGAGTGTAATACGAAAAGGGCGTCAGTTGGTGCAGTGGATAACATGTGAGCTTTCGGATAAGGTAATCGCTGGTTTGATGTTCAGCTGAGGTTCCAAATTTTGCCGATATCTCAGCATCCTTGTAGTTATCGAAGTACATTCAGAGAGTATAAGTAAAATCAATTCCTGGAATCCAGTTGTGGCAACTACAGTGTCGCTTTTTGGAGGTATAGGACTTATATTCGCGATCTAAATCGCCAGAGTTCCCTCACGTGTTGAGAACCAGTTAAAATCATTACATATTATTGAATAGTAAAACAAATGACGTAGATATGAGGACGCGTGGAATAAAAAGGAACTGTAACGTGTAGATTGTATACATGAAGTCTAATAATATATCATCTTGTCCACTAATTACAAGGTTTTTTGCAGTCATCACATTTGCCGTTACTTCGGTCTTTCCTAATATCGAATATCTTCTGTCTGATTTCAGGCTATCCAGATAGATCGTAGCCAGATCGAACGAATAGTCGGCGATCTCGACAAAGTGCCCCCTCCTCCAGTTGACGCTCCACCTGCTCCTCAACTTCCTTATTGGTGAATAGTTTTCTGTTTGTGTTTGTGTTTTTTTTTTTTTTGTAAATGATGCTAGTCTTTTCTTGACAACGTCATTTTATAATCTCAAAATAAATAGTGTGGTCAGGTTCACCACCGAATGCCGTAATAACTTGGTGAATTGTGATGTGCCTGCGATGTCGACAACTAGCGCACCGTCACCGATTCCGCCACCACTTCCAATGCCAGACCTCAAACAACAACTTAAAGCACAACTTGAATACTACTTCTCGAGGTACTTTATTCAATATTTTGGCTCTGGTTATTTTGTAGCAGCCAAATAAATAGTCATTGAAGGATCTGCATAGTGCCATGCGATGCTAGGTTGCTGAACAATGTCACTTTTATTTTGTTGTGTCCATTCTGCTTCGCAGTGTTTCGTTTCTTCCCGTCTTAATGAACAAGTTTATTGTGAGGATGTCTCTATTGGTTGTCTTTACTGCACACTGTTGCTATTAATAATATTAATAACGGAGGCACCGTAAAGGATGCTTTCAGCTGGTTTGGGCTTCTCTTAACCGATTGATCAAATTCAGGTGAAGATTGTGGACATGTATTAAATCTGTATCTTGAAAACAGGGTATACACTATTATCGGATTTTTCGGTAACATAGTCGTGGATTTGATGCTACAGTTGTCTAGTTAGCTAGACTGAATTGTACAAGGTACATCTCCATGTGGGGGATAAAAAGATAAGCGTGGATCTAAGCTACCTTATATTTCCCGTAGGAAGAGAATGAATTCAGGAAATAGATTACTTGGCTCTTACGCGTGGATTGAGTTATATTTACTTATACATGTAATACATTCATGCATAGTGATTGTACCAATATGTATAAAGGTTTTCGTGGATTTTATCCGAGTTGGTCCAACCTGAAAAGCATGTTCCGAGATAAGTGAAAAGTATTTAATGTAGGAAGACCTGGGTCTCCTCTAACAGGTAAATCTGACTTTTACTTCTACATAGCCTAAAAAGCTATTTTTGAATTCACCCAGATTCCAATAAAATGGTCCTAGGCATCCTTTTGCCAAAAACACTGAAAAGGAAAGCATTTGTATGAAAAGTGTGACTTCTCGTGTTCATCGAGCGAACAGAGACCTGTGAATCCTTGGCGCACTACAAAGCCGGTTGGAGACTACCGCTAGTGCGTACTTGAGTCAATGGAATGGGTAATGAGATTACAGATGAAATAAGTGGTAGAACGACGACAACATTTTAGAGTGGCAAATCAGCGAGACTATACAAGAGGGATTTTTGAAATTCTGCTTTTATTTGTTCTTTAAATGAAAGATTATCGCTGTTGACCGAAAGTGAAGAGTTCCTCATATAGTCATGAAGAATTCGGTCCTTTCAGAGAGAACCTCATAACTGATCGATATCTGCGTTGTCAAATGGATGCGGATCAATTTGTTCCTATATCTATAATTGCTGGATTTCGGAAGATCGTTCAGCTCACCAATGACTACAATCTGATTCTGCAGGTTTTGAGAGGTAACTATAGGTTCTATTCCTCTCTCTCTTATAAAAGACATGTATATAGTGGAAACGTTTAAAGAAGTAAAGTACCAACCTGTTATGTATCATAACAGACTTCATGCTTATTAAGAAAAGAGAACGAGGTGTCATTGTGGAAGTTGCAGTTTCAAGGGGGTTGACCTTTTCTAAACAATTTTTGCTTTTCCACGACCGACTTTCTTTTAACCTCGACATTGATTGGTAATTCGATGTTTTTCTTCAATAAGCAGACACGAAGTTGTTATTATAGGGTTTATTAGGATACTTTAAGTTAGTTAAGGGATAGCCTACTTACATACTTACAACGAATAAACGGCTCTGAAGAAGGCGAAACCGCCGAAACGTCAGCTATTGTATCCTAATAAATCCTGTAATAACAACCTCGTGTCTGCTTATTGAAGAAAAGCATCGAATTTTTGCTTTGCTTAGTGATTCTTTTACTACATATTGCTATCCTTAAGCGATGTTGGACATATCGTGTAAATTACAGATTATACATGTATTAGTAATACTGACTTATTTTCAGAGTCAAATCAAGTGGAAGTGGATGAACGTGGAGAAAAAGTGCGTTCCGTATGCCGACGATGCACTATCATTTTGAGGGAAATTAGTGAACAGCATAGAGACGTAGGCTTTCTTTGTCTTCATTTTGCTTCTACAAAACGGCATTAGTGCATAGTTAATCAGGAAGTCGAGAAAATGTTGTCTGGCGGACCACCTTATGTCGATCTCAAGTATGGCCTCAACAACAGCTGGTACGTGACATTCGACAGCGAAGAGACTACACAACAAGCTTATCTTCACCTACAAAACATGAACATTACTTTTAATAACAAGCCAATATGCGTAAGTATTTGTGTCTATCTTGTTCATGTGAAACTGTTAAATTCCTCGGGTGTTTTTGTTCGTGGTCTGACATCGTGCAATAATCATGTTTCAGGCCCGCATAAAAGCAGGGGGACCTCCAAGCGATCTGCCACCTATCGACAGGGTGCCAGCACAGGTGTCTTTTTAATTTTTTTTTTACTTGCGAGAGGGTGGTTAGGGGAGAAGAGAGATATGGCTTTGTTTACCGGTTACCGCTTTGGAATAAATTTTAACTGATTATCCAATTGTACCTTTCAGTTGGATATCGATTGACTTACTTTCCTGTCTGTTTACTTGAATACTTCACATTAGATCTTCACATGAGAGTCGCATTATGTCTCATTTTGTTGTTTAGTAACCGTCACCTATAGGTATGTGATCAAGTTCAGACGTAGATTCGTGTATAACTTGAGGATCTGTCGTCTTTACTCCTCACTAATATCCTAAATGCTGGTCGAACGTGGTTTTCGCTATGAACCCGAGATGCATGTGTGAATCGAAAAGAATTTTGTTGCGTTGCGATCCTAATTATTCCGGGATGATAGCGAATGTTATGATTAAACCATTGATCGCTCGAGAATGACGCAATGAGCTAAATCTCGATATTGTTTTCTTGAAGTCGCTCTCCTTACATAAGGGCAGAGGTTTTCTCTCACCGTAGGTTTGAGATTTGGCCCACCATTTTAGTTTGGTTCTGCAAGTGATTCTTATTCGTTAAGTAGGTAATAGTATCTAATTTTTCACATTCGAGTTATATTTAAACAATATGGTGAAGTGAGCCGGTCCCGAATGTTTATCCAGTATACTATTAACTTCCTTGTCACACCTTTGACGAAAAAGGAGATGTTCTTGGTTAAATTTATTCGAAGTAAGCGATTTTCCAGTACTTCAAATAGAAATTAGTCCCTCACTTTATAGTAAAAATCGAATGGTGGGGAATTTCTTAAGGACATTCATGACAGCATACACTCATTTAAATGCGTCTGACTGAAAGTAATTGCGCTTATTAAATTTGAATAAGCTTCTCTGAGCTCCTGGTAAATTTTATTGATTAAAACGGTAAACAAATGAGATCTGTAGATATTTTGCAACAAGGTACAAGTGTTCTTCTTCTACTACGATGAAATTTTGATATTCTGCAGCACACAGTTTGTTCCTATTTCCGATTGGCTCGTATTCCAAACAGCGAAACATTTGAATAATGGGGGTTTCGTAGAACAGGACTGGGTGGACGTCTTTCAATGCATCGTTGGGTTTTACAGCTGTTTCATCAGCGATAACGTTTCTAAAGTACAATTCTTTATCTCTAGCCTTTCTACAAATTCGAATTTTAAACGAATCTGGAATGCAAACTACCTATTTCAGCAGTTATTTATATTCATAAGGGAGCTAGTTTAAGGCATCTTCTACCAGCCTATCACATTGGCGAGTTATCAAGCTCTGTATCTTGAAAAATTAGTGGAAGTTGCGGATAAACGTACTGTCTAAGTTGTCTAAAATGTGTACAAGTAGTGCTCAAAGTTCTTACCGATGAACTCTCCTGGTTACTTAGAAAAAGTGACAGCTTGCAACCTATAGTTATTCTGTAGCTGACCGAAATGAAGTAACTTTATTGCAAATCTCTAGATTATTCGCGACAGATCTTGTATATTCCCATTTTCTGATTCTTTATACTGCTTGCTGATGTTGTTCTCTCTCTTAACCAGTAAGTGCCTCTGCCCACTCGTCGCTCGTCTGTTAGATCAGGTGTAGTGTTTTGTGCTATCAGATTTGCGTCGATATCTATCGTCTCTCGAACTAGCTGAAAGACAGGCGAAACGAAGGACCCGTATGGTGTGATGGTGAACGCGTTAACCCCCGGAAAGGGTGATAGAGCGTTTGTTCCCCACCGCAGACACCCGCGGTCCGAAGCTTTGCAAACATCTCAGCATCGTTGTGGTTGTGCTACGTCTATATCTTGAAAACATCAATACTTTGTTGTTACTCGACCACTTTCTTGTGAACTTTTTGCCGATCTTATTGATACATCTTTATAAAGTTGAGGATTTTTTATACATTTGTGAGCTCTGTCGTCGTCCTGTTTACTTTGGTGTTCATCAGCTTGTCGATGTTTATTCGGTTGAGAAATCGCTGTAAGCATTCAATATGTTTGTTGACGTCCGCCTATCTGGACTTCTTGGTGGCGTTTTTCTAATTGCATCGGTTGTTTCAAACAGATGTAACCATCATGAAACCACGGTTAAAAACGAAGACGAAGAGCAAAGTTTATAGAGGAGACAAATTTTATGACAAAAATCAATTTTTCGTTCAATATTTTCGAAAGGAACTGGGAGAGAAACTCTCCTTCATGGTCTTCTCCGGCATTGTTGTTATTGATTCGAAAGTTTCTTCCCGCTGAATCATAGCAGTAAGGAAGAAATGTGGTTCCTGAATATGCAGCCTAGTCATCGCAGTACTTATCGTCCGTTCCGGAGTGGAATCCTTTAACCATTTCACGACCATGCGCATTGACTTCAATATGTTCGCTGCTGTACGCTTCAGACTTTACATGTTGATTTCAATGCTCATCTCAAGTGCGCTGAATGACGCGCAGTCGTGAAAGGATTAATTCACAGCGCCATGAGCAGATTTGTAAGCCTTCACGCTGCTGTGCTAAGGGATTCCCCCCACAATGTGTTCTGAATGGACGATAAGTACTATAGCGGCCTAACATATCTGGATATCTGGAATATCAACACGATTTACGTAAGAATTCGTATTCATACGGCATCGTCAACATAGTGTTGAAATTTTGACAATTTCTGTCTACTATGAGAAGGTACGCCGCATTTCTAGCTAACATTTGAACATTCTAGAATATTAGTGTTTTCGAAGCTTGTTTTATTGGAATAACAATATTGTGAACCAAACACGTTATTCAGGTTGAGAGAAGCAGTAAAAAAGTCGACAAATGTATTATACATGAATTTTTCCCGCGTAGTTCTGCTATTGTGTCAAGAACGTTTTATTCCAGATACCGGAACCGGTGATTACTGAACCACAATTGTACACACCATTATACGAGCTGGGGCAACTTCTAGCTAGCTATGGCTATGTCCCACGGGCAACGTTTCGACCAGGCGCCACGGTAGTTCATGTTCAGGATGATGTCCAACAACGAATGAACAGGCACGGACATTCATCCCAACAACGACACTCCAATCCAGGACGATGTAAGGGTTTTCTCCAACCTTTTATTAAAGACACAGTCATAATGCAGTGGATTATGATGACGCAAACAGTGTTGATGGTTCGATAGGTAATTGTGTCCGACCATGACTTCATGATCTTTAAAGTGAAATTATTCAATATTATTGCCGATTTAATTTGACGAATTTATGAGCCCTAGCCCTTTATCCATTCCTATTTCATTTCCTGTTGACTTTACTATCTTTGTTCTCTAAATATTCAATGTTTTTAGCTGGTCGATTGTATGCATCCGGAGCGAACGGTTATCCGATCCATTCAAATGGTGGCATGCCAACCCATTCTTCGGCCGGAATCAATGGAACCATCCCATCAACGTCACAGTATAATGGGATGGATCGACGTCACACACGGGAGCAAAATATATCACGGTGCAGCCGAGGGCAGGGCAGTGGATTTGCTGCACGTCGTGGAACCGGCGATCGTACCTACCATCAAGGTCAGTACGGAACCATGCTGTGGTGGAATTACTGCATTTCAGTAGTATCAATAGCAAATCTGAGTCTGCTGAACTAACGAGCAATTGTAGCTCTGGTCACGGTAATGCAGTGTGTACGTTCTTCCTCACATTCGATTTGTAGTCCGCACCACAATTTTTATGCCTTGCTACCTTTATACTCATACAGTCGTACCAATCCAAAAATTTGCAAAGTGCTTTCTTTAAACTTAAAGTTTCTAGGAGTTTTCAAGCACATTGCAATGTCGTTATTTGTTTTAAGAAAAAGAAAAGGGTAACGTTAACATGCAGACTACTCCACCAAACATTTTCATGACCTCAACGAGAACTTCTACACATAAACCTCTATCACTTGCTAAACAGCTTTACAAATAACAATCATATTTTTCGCCAACTTCTTAAGAGGTGATTCCAGATACTTTAAAGGGCTTGTTTGCTTGGATTTTAGAAAATCTATTCGGAGATATAGGACCAAGCCAAGTATGATTATGAAGTACTAATCCATGGGATTCATTTTTTGGTTTTTGGCGGTGATCCAGTTAGAGAACCCTGTTAAATGTTAGCCATTATAGAATAAATTTTGTGGGCAACTCGTGCAACGTTATCCTTTGTCTGAGAGGAATTGCGAACTACCTATCGCCGTAGAGCATTTGACAATGGGTCAACCTGTGCCCCAATTTCTTTGGACTTACCGTTTTTAACACTGATGACTAGCAGTACTCCGTTAAAAAAGACGAGTAACTTAAACAGGTTTCGATTGGGGCTGGAATGGTCCATTCGTATCATGAGTTTTGAAACTAAACTGAATTGTCAGCAGTTTCCACTGAAAATAGTTGTTTGTTGCATCGAATTAGTCCATTACTTCCTCTTTCCTTTTTCTATGCACTTATTCGCAGTCATATTTCATATGTGAGGAGCACATCTCCAGCGGCTGCGTTTTTGACTATAGAACGCTAACCTACAAAATTAGCCCAAAGGATGTATCTTGTAGTTCTTGCCTTTAATGACCACAACCTCCGGTTGAGCTTTTTTTGTGATGCAGGTAGACTGCTCTTCCCTTATATGCTGCAAGGGAAAAAATTGGTTCTTACAAAGCTATCACGGTCTGGTTGAATGTGTAGGTCATAGTTGTTCGTTAAGACCATAAAATGTTTGGCGTGTGTTGCAGTAGGAGGTTTTCCAGGTTGTGAAGGAAATGAAATCCGCTGAAACGTTAACCATTGTTATATAAACTTTATATTATTACTGCCATGGGAATCATCTAAGCTATCGTATAGAGGCGCGTGCAGCGCAGTGGTTAAAAGTGGCTCGCGGTACACACGTCATCTTTGGTTCGGTCATATGCCCATAGTTCATCAAGCTTTCCATCCCTTTGGAATCGGTAAATCGGAGCCCACTTGTCTGCGAGGTTGGGCGCATTCACTTGATACATGAGCAAGCCATCGCAAGTTATTTTAGGCCAGATATGCATGCAGTCACGTCTAACGATGTCTAGTGAAATCGAATGTATGGCTCATCTCTTAAGGGTTGATTA